GCAATAGATAAGGAATACAAGGTGACTATTCTCAAAACTTCAGGATCTACAGACCAGCCTCCTGGAACCTTCTGGATTCAGGATTTGGATGCAGCCACAGAGAGCCTAAGCGCCACAGGTCCCGCCACGACACCCTGAGGCTCACACTTGTGCGTGGTTGATCACATCTATAAAAGATGAGCCTTTTCTGGGAAAGTGAAAAGACAGAGAAGCCTCCTGACAGGGAAGGAGACCAGGAGCCAGAAGAGCAGGTGTTATGGCAAGGCTGACTTCCCGGAGGGCAAGACCGCGGCCCGGGACGCAGCTTCACCTGCCCTCATGCAGATGGCGCCCATGTCCAGGAGGCAGCTGCGGTCAGTGACTCCACAGGAGGCATCCCCAGACCTGGGGCCAGAGACTTCCTTGCACCTGTGCCTGATGTGACACCAGGGTGGGGCACAGGCTAGTCCCAGCTCCTGCGGCCCCCATTGCTCACCCCTGCCTGTTAACACATCTACACAGTCCTCCCTCATTATCATCCCATTTTACAGATGGAGAAACCAACACTGGGAGGGTTGAGAGAATTGCCCAAGGTCATTGACAAGTCCATGGCAGTGTTAGGGCACCAGCCCATGCCAACTCCAAAGCCCAGATTGGAACCACTCACTGGACCTCACCTACTTCCCAGGAAGCCAGACTGATTGCCTCGGGTCACCCAAAGAGGGTGGAATAATGTCGTCCACCAGCTCCCTACAAAGATAGGGACTTGTGCAGTCGGCACTGGCAGATTTCAGCCTCAAGAGAGATCCCCTCTCCAGCCTCAAAGTACTAACATTGGATCGAGACTTCTCACTAAAGGAAGGTCCAAGCCAGCCCACATTTTCCTACTGCAGAATCTACAGTAAAGAGACAGATAAGGCCTTTTGCAAGAACTGGAAGTAGGTTTCCAGGTACCCCTTGGACTTATAATTCAGCCCTTGTAAGTATGACCCTGGAGATTAAAGCAAAGAAGAACTGGCTCCCTGGACCCCTGAGGTTAAGCGCTGAGGCGAATTCTGTATAATGATGCGGCTGGCAGCCACAGTGAGCATTTATTTATCATGCACTCACGGGGCATCTGCTTCCAGGTCACAGTGGCGCTGGCGTTGCCTGGTCCAGGTGGGGTGGCTCTTGCATCTGCAGCAGGGTGGACTGGGGCATGCACGTCCCATGACCATGGCAGAGGTTCTGGGGCATGTCCCCTGTGACTGAGACATCTGCCTACTTCCTGAGGCCAAAGCAAGTCACATGGCTGCACAGGAGGACAAGGCCAGGAGTTCGCCCCTTCAACGTGTGTGTGTGTGTATATGTCTCTTTTTGCATGTGTGTATGTGTGTGTTTGTATGTTTATATATATGTATGTGTATGTGTGTAGGTATGTGTGTATGTGTACGTGTATATGTGGAGGTCTGTATGTGTGTACATGTGTAGGTGTGTGTGTGTGTATGTGTGTAGGGCTATGTGTATGTAGTTATGTGTATATGTATGTGTGTAGGGGATCTGTGTATGTACGTACATGTGTGTAGGTTGTGTGTGCGTGTGTAGGTGTGTGTACGTGTGTAGGTGTGTGTGTAAGTATAGGTATGTGCATATGTGTAAATATGTGTGTGTACAAGTGTGTAGGTGTGTGTGCATGTGTGTATGTATGTGAGTAGGTATGTATATAGGTCTGTGTGCATTTGCGTAGGTATGTGTGTGTATGTGTGTGTGTGTATGTGAGTAGGTATGTGCGCACATGTGTGTGTGTGTTGAGAGGCAGCAAAGTCACTTAGCAAAGGACATGGATGCTGGGAGAAGTGAAGCTTTGGGGTCAGTAACTCCACCCCTCACCCTCATGCCCTCCCTGTGCAAGTCAGGTGCCAGCTCCATCAACCAGAACATCTGGGTAACCATAACAGGTTGTCCCCCACCAGGTCTGATCAGAAAGTGTCTTCTATTATTTTGTATCTCTGTCCTTGACTCCAGGACTCAGTCCTGACCTTTCTTGTAGTTTCTTGGCTTAAGCCGCTCATTCGTTTCCTTCTCTCAACTGGGTGCACTGACTTCTTTCCATCTGTGCAAACAGCTCAAGTGGCTCTGACAGGGTGCAGAGTCCGTCTTTGATGCTGAGGTCGAGGGAATCGGGGACGGAGCCACCAAAGCTCCTACTCAGCCCTCCCAGGGCACATTTGCCCCCCAAATAATAGTCATTGACCATTAGCTCCAACAGAGAAATTGTGGTCCAAGGCCCCCCATTCTGCAGATGAGGAAACTGAGGCCCCAAGAGAGGCCCTCGCCTTGGTTGGCTGTGCCCAGAGAGTTTTGCTTCATTTGTCCATTTTGTCTGGGGCTGCTCCTCCTTGTGTGCCCTTGCCTAGAATCATGTATGGGTCAACCTTTTCCAAAAAACTGCCAACACTGGCGGGGTGCAGTGACTCAGGCCTGTAATCCCAGCCCTTTGGGAGGCTAAGGCAGGAGGATGACTTGAGCCCAGGAGTTGGAGACCAGCCGTGGCTGCAGAGTAAGGCCTCGTCTCCATAAAAAAATACCAAAATTAGTCAGGCTCGGTGGTGCATCTCTGTGGTCCCAGCTACTTGGGAGGCTGAGGTGGGAGGATCTCTTGAACCCCATAGGTTGGGGCTGCAGTGAGCTATGATCATGCCACTGCACTCCAGCCTGGGGAACAGAGTAAGACCCTGTCTCACAAAAGAAAGGGAGGCATGCGGCAGCATGCGGATGGAACTGCCAGCCCTAAATCTTATGGCCCAGGCTTACTCCAGGAGCCAGAGTCCCAAAAAGGGACCCTGTGGACCTTCCACCAGTCCCTGAAAGAGCCTCACCAGCGACACCTTCCTGGGGCTGTGGCTTTAATGACAGTCCAAGGCCCCCAGGATTCCTTTCTGTGTTCAGATAAACTCGGCTTCCTGTCCTCTCGCCAACGCTGCATTCAGAGCCCAAACTGGCAACATATTTGGCCTTTCTAGAAAAGCTGCAGTGGAGAAAACACTCCCACTGGGAGGTCATGGGGGAACTAGATATTCACACAGCCTCAGAGAACCTTCCCTGTGATTCCTGGTTAATCATGAAACAAGAGTTTTCGTGTCTGCCCTGGCAGACACCACCTTAACCAATTGGCCAGACCCGATTTTGCCCTCGATGGACAAACTCACTTGTTCGCCCCTGCCTGGATGCATGAGAAGGACAAGATCGCCCCAAAAAGGTTCAGACAAATTGAATCCCAAAGCTGCAATCAGACAAATCCAAACTGAGGGGCTGTCTGCAGGACAGATGACCTGAACTTTCAAAAAGGTCAATGTCATAAAAAACAAAAATGAAAAAAAAATGGAGGATTGCTTCTAGACTGAGAGAGATGAGAGAGAATAACCAATGCCACTGTGAGCCTTGAATGGATCTCAGATTTTTGTAAAGCTCTAAGAGTTACTTTGGAATAATTGGGAACACCGAATAGAGGATCAGGTGATACTGAACTAAGTATCTTAGGGGCAATGCTGGTGGTGTGGTTTAGACAAAATTCTCAGATGAGTACTGCGTATTCAGGGGTGGGGCTCGGGATTGCAACACACTTTCAAACAGTTCAGAGAAAAGTGTGTGTGTGTGTGTGTGTCCATGTGCATATGCATGCGTGTGGGGGTGTGTGCATGTGTGCCTGTGTATGTGTGTGTGTGCATGTGTACATGTGAGTGCATATGGATGTGTGAATGTGAGTGTGTGTGCATGTGTGTATCCCTGTGTATGTGCATGTGTGGGTGGGTGTGCATGTGTGTGCATGTTCATGTGTGTCTGTGTGCATGTGCATGTGTGCGTGTATGCATGTGTGTGTGTGTGCCTGTGTGTGCCTGTGTGTGGAGAGAGAGAAAAAGGGGAGGAGAGGAGCAGGAATGCATACAAGTGAGTCAAGAGGTAAACAATGGTTGGGATGAAGAGTATATGGGTATTTACTGCTATTCTAATTATTTCCACTTTTATGAGGTTTGAAAGTTTTCAAAGTAGTAAGTTGGTAAGAAGAAAGAAAATGCTCATAGAGGGAGCCTACCAACCTTCCTGGGACCCCCATCCTTGTCAGTGAACTATGTAAAGAAGAGCTAGGATTTAATGACTGGATTCCTTCCTGGGCTCCAAGCATTGTGACATCTTGCTTCTTTATTCCATGAGAAGGTTGGGCAAGCCTTTGTAAGCACTCCATGCTTGAGTTTCTCCGAATCTAAATCCGGGAGATTTGCTCCAGGTCACGTGCGGACCAAGTGAAAGTGATGATGGGAGAGACACAGACCATGGACTCCCTGCTTGGACCCCAGGCCCTGCACCCCCTCTGCTGCTGGGCTCACCCTTATGGGTCTCGTGTGTTAGCAAACTGTTTCTGATGCCTGTTCTCCCAAGTCCCAGAGATGTCAGGGATCCCGGGGCCACCCAGCTTAGCTGTGCCTGCCTCCCTCTGAAGGAGCCACTGCACCAGCCTGGACCTCACAGGATCTCCATGTAGGATGTCAGCTCCGCAGGGATTGGCCACTTGGCAGATGCAGTCGCTCCTGATTGGACAGTGGCGGTAGACTCTAGGCCAGTCAGCTCTGCCTGTGTGTCCTGCATCCTGAAATGCAAAGCAGGGGCTGTGGGGAAATCTCATCAACTCCTCCTGCCCTGGGAGGTGGCAAAGGTGGTGGGCTGGGCTGCTGGGACCCTGGGGAGGAATGAAACAGAGGCTATGCTGGTGGCCTGCAGTTCTTGTAAAGTGCTCATCAAATGGTGTCCAGTTCCCGCCTGTGGCTGCAGGCTGGAAAGCTGGCTGCTAGCACTGATACAGCCTGACCTCGGGGTCAGCACATCTCAGAGTCCAGAGGGGTAGGGATTGGGACAGGTGACCTCCCAAGGACGTCTCCCTAAGTGGCCAGCAGTGCCGCTTTTCCCTGCACCTGTAGCTGCCCTGAGCACCCCCACTGGACACAGCGGGCATTGCACCCTCCAGAAAAAGCTGCCCTTGTTCCACATGCAAGCCCTGTCCCCAGCACCGCGGGCTGTGCTACCTGCAGTCACGCAGACCGCGAGCCCCGGCCACCTCTCTAATGCCCTGTGTCCTCTGGCCTTCAGCAGGCTGGGTCACAGAGGCATCCCCCCAGTCGTCCATTCATTCATTGACTCAACAAATACCTGTTCGGTGTCTACTAGGTGCCAGGCACCGCTGGGAAAACAGCAGACAAAACTCCCTGCTTTCCCGGAGCCGGCATCTTGGTCGGCAGACTGCATGAGCGAGAAGAGTAGGTGGAGGTGAAGGCGTGTGAACAGGTGACAGGCACTGGGGAGGAACAGCCCAGGGGAGGGGCCAGGGATCGTGGGGGAGAGGGGACTGCGAAGCAAGGGAGGTGTCCAGGGAAGACCTCCGCGAGAAGGTGACCTTGGCATAAAGAGGCCAGCGTGGGAGGGGCTCAGGCAGACCATGGGGGGTCAGAAGCTGAATAGGGACAGGAGGAGGACATGAAGCCCTGAGTCAGGTGTGAGTCTGCTGGGTTCACAGACCTGCAGGGAGCCACTGCGGCAGGGGCCAGCGTGTGAGGGGCTCGGCAGGGATTTGTGGCTAGCAAGGTCGTGGCGCCACTGTTGAGACTGGACTCTGACTCTGAGAAGATTGGAAGCCCTTGGGAGGTTTTGAGTGAAGTAATGACATGTTCTGAGTTATGTTCTGGGATGATCACCCTGGCCCCATAGAGTTGGGCGGCGGGGGTGGAGGTGGGCTCAGGGAATGCTGTGAGGAGCAGCTCGAGAGCCAGCAGCAGCCTGGGCCAGGGAGGAGACCGGGAGAGGCATGGGCCCCAGCCCAGGGACGGATTGGGTGTGGGAGGTGGGACATGGGAGGAAGGAAGGAGTCGGGGTGACGCCCTGGAGAGGGACTGACACCTGGGAGGACGGGGAGCTCTTTACTCAGCTGGGGCCACCCTGGGAAGAACTGGGCTGGGGGTGAGGGCCGTCGGGAGCTCCATGTCCGATCTTGGAATCCGAGGCACGCGTTCCCCACCCTCACAGTTGAGCCGCACAGCAGGGAATACACAGCTCTGGGGTTCAGGGGAGTGGTAGGGGGTGAGGGGTCTGCAGCAGAGCAGTGGGGTTCAGAGCCACAAGACGGAAAATCTGAGGGGCCTCATGGGGATGGAAAAGAAGAGGTTCAAGGCCTGAGCAAGGGCAGCCACTGGGGGACAGAGAGGAGCAGGAAGAAGCCCAGGAGACTGAAAAGGAGTGGCCGGAGGGATGAGAGGGGCCTGGAGTCCTGGGAGCTGGGGAAGCCACAGGCAGCACCTCTGTCGCCCCATACAATGGCCACCGCTGGACCTAGCAATGAAGAGGTTACCCACGGACTTGGCAAGCGCAACTCCCACGGAGTGGTGAGGGCAGAGGCTGACCAGTGTGGGTTTGTGAGCTGGAAGGGGAGGAATCTCACAAGTGAAGGAAAACTTTTTGAGGAATTTCCTCATGAACGGAAGGCGAGAAACAGTGGAGACGAAAGTGGGTCTAAGAAACTGTGCTTTTTAGACTGGCTGCAGTGGCTCACGCCTGTAATCCCAGCACTTGGGGAGGCAAAGCGGGTGGATCGCTTGAGGTTGGGAGTTCAAAACCAACCTGGCCAAGATGGTGACAACTCATCTGTACTAAAAATACAAAAATTAGCCGGGGGTGGTGGTGAATGGTTTGTGATCCCAGCTACTCGGGAGGCTGAGGCAGGAGAATCACCTGAACCCAGGAGGCAGAGGTTGCAGTGAGTCAAGATCTCACCACTGCACTCCAGCCTGGACAACAGAGTGAGACCCTGTCTCAAAAAAAAAAGAAAGAAAGAAAGAAACTGCTTTTTGTTTTCTTTGGGAAAAATAATAACTCATTGAGTGCAGCTAGCAGTGCCTCCTGAAGAAGGAGGAATGGGCTTGGGGTGCCCTTGAGTGTGTGTGGGGCTAGGAGTGACCACGTGGCCGTGGACACTGTGGGGCCCATTCCTGGGTAGCCACAGGAGGGATGGCAGGCAACTTTGAGTACAGATCCCATCTCAGTGGAAGGCTGAGGTGGAAGGATCACTTGAGCCCCACAGGTTGGTGCTGCAGTGAGCCATGATCATGCCACTGCATTCCAGCCTGCAGAACAGAGCAAGACCCTGTCCCCAAAAGGAAAAGAAAGAGAGAAGGGCATGGGGCAGCATGGACACTGTGGGGCCAGTTCCTGGGTAGCCACAGGAGGGAAGGTGGCTTTTGGTGGCTTGTGTTTTCTCGGGGCTGGGAAGCAGCAGTGGCATCTGAGGGTGGGGTGGGAGGGGAGGCGTGGCGAAGTGTCCCCTGAGCCTGGGGGAGAGGATGGCTTAGAGCGGACGCCCATGGACTTTCTCTGTAAAGGACCAGATAGTAAATATTTTAGCCTTTTCAGCCAGGCAGTCTCTGTTGCAGCTCCTCAGCCCTGCCTGTGTAGCTCAGAAGCAGCCCAAGAGGATTCTTAAACAAATGGGCATGGAGGCCTTCCAATAAAACTTTTATTTACAAAACTCGGCAGCAGGCTGGCTCTGGCCTGCTTAGACTCCTGGCCCTTGACCTTGCCTCCAGGCCAGGGGTTTTCAAAGTGGGTCCCTGGGCCAGCAGCATCAGTGTTACCTGGGACTTGTGAGAAATGCAGATTCTTGGGCCCCACCCCACATCCGTGGAACCAGTGACTCAGTTTCTTCACTGTTTCCAACCCAAGTTGAGTTAGGATTTCTGGAATTCTGGAAGTTAGCTCAGCAGCTAGACCCAAGACACAGTGAGCTCGTGGGGGCGGGGAGAGGTGGGCTACGTGCCCTGTTAAAGGCACAGGCTTCCTAGCCCCCAGCCCCAGCTTCTTCTGCAGTCCTGTGTGAGGACATCCCGCCTCCCGTGGGCCACGTTTGTTTACGCAGCCTCCATGGGGGGCTCCCTGGGGACAGGCTGTGGTGAGGACTCTGCTCTCAGCAGACCCGTGCCTGGTGCTGTGCAGAGCCCTCCCCTTTACACCCCTGGTTTCCTGTTCGTGACCCTCAGCTGCCCAGGGGAGCCTGGGGGCAGGGGCTCCGTGGCTTGTGGGGGCAATCTCCCACAGCAGTAGGGCTCAGCCAGTGTTTTGTGTGTGAAGAAATGCACTGTCCTCTGATGGAAAGCACAGCATCTATGGGAGTTTAACGACAGCTTTTTAATGACTTTAGTGAGATGATTTGATCTCCTGCCTCTGAGTCATCTAAGAGCAAAACGCGTGAGCTGCTAATGTGCTCAAAGAGAGGCTGCCCTTGAGGCCCCTCCAGCCCCCCAGTGCTGCAGGAATTTAGTCACCCCAAAGCCAGATAACCTTGGCCTCCCAAAGCTCTGGAACTATAGGCATGAGCCACTGTGCCTGGCCTGAATGAGGGTCTTTAAGAATAAAATTCCCGGGGATCTTCTCACCAAGCCCCACCGCTTTTGAGGTTAGCGTGGTGCTGCATCTTCTCTGCGTCCTCTGTCCTTGTTTCTGGTTTTGGTTTTGGTTTTGGTTTACTTAAAACAGAGTCTCACTCCGTTGCCCAGGCCGGAGTGTAGTGGTGCAATTATGGCTCACGGCAGCCTCAACCTCCGAGGCTCAAGTGACCCTCCCACCTCAGCCTCCTGAGTAGCTGGGACTATGGACGTGCGACGCCATGCCCAGCTCATTTTTTAATTTTTTTGTGGAAACCAGGTCTCTACAAAAAAATGTCTCTATGTTGCCCAGGCTGGTTTTAAACTCCTGCGCCCAAGTGATCCTCCTGCCTCGGCCTCCCAAAGTACCGGGCTTCCAGTCTGGCCCCAGTTTTCCAGCGGGTCTGCACGTGCGCTCCCACCCCTCGCTCAGAGGAGACCTCCACTGTTAGGGGGACCTATACCTGCGCCGCCTGGACCCCAGGGACAGAGGGCGTTTGTCAGTCCACTCCCTTACTTTGCTTTTCTTCTGAGGAAGCTGCTTCCTGTGATGGGAGGTCACTGTTCTGGGGGAAAAAAAAGATGGGAAAAACAAAGCCGGTCAGCCGCTGGGCTACGTGTGTCAGGTTTCCCACAGTTTCATGGGTTGTTATGGATGGGTGGGGCTATGTTTTGAGCCCGGGGCATCCCTTTGCCTGCGGGTGCAGGACCAGCTGATTTTGGATCAGGGGCCCTTGTCCTTCCAGAAGCCAAACCCCGTTCTAAGCGTGGGGGAGCAGCAGTGAGCAAGACGAAACCACTGCTCTCCTGGAATGCACCCCGCAGAGAGGGCGCGGGGGCACCACAGATCTGCGTGTAGGCAACAAAGGCGTGGTGTCGGCTGGGGAGCAACCAGGACCCCTGAGCCCCACAGTAGGGGCTCATGTCGCTGAGAAACACTGCTGCAAGGGCGCAGCCAGTAGAAGGAGCCGCCAGTGCCAGGGTTCACAGACGGTGTGAGCTCGGCCTGCTGGGAGGGCTAGGGGCCTGGGCCGAGGGCCAGGAGGCAGAGCACGGGGGACTGAGGGGCTGTGCCTGGGAAGGGGAGGAAAGAGCCTGGGACCAGATTCACTTTTGAAATAGAAGCCCCCAACAGCAGCCAGCCAAGTGGAGCAAGGCGTGCAGGGCTGAGAGGGTGCAGGGGGCGAGGAGGAGCCACTAGGAGGGGACTCAGGCGTTCAGGTGAAAGGCAGCGGTGGCTCAGCCCAAGGGGTGGCAGCCGGTGAGATGGGTGGATGGCTGGATGTTGGCAGCCATACTCATAATTGATGCTGCTGTAACAGCTCATCACAAACCCTGCAGCTTCCGACAGCCCAGGGTGGGATCTCCTGGTTCCCGGTTCCCGTGGGTCAGGCGTTGGGTAGAGCAGGGCTGAGTCTGCTGCTTTGGGACTGCTGAGCTGCAGTCGAGGTGCTGGCCATTACTGGGCTCACCTTGGAAATCTCTGGTAGGAAAGGATCCACTTCCAGGCTCTCTTGGTCATTTGAAGGCTCTTTTCTTTGGGCTGTTGGGCTGAGGGCTCAGCTTCTCACCAGCTGTTGACCTGAGGCTGCCCTTAGTTCCTGCCCCATGGGCCTCTCCAACACAACACCTTGCTTTATCAGAGCCAGGAGGGACAGTCTCTAGCGAGACAGAAGTGACAGTCTGCCCATTACGTTTTCCATGGTCTGCTGGTTCGAAGGACTGGCTAGGTCCAGCCCAGCACTCTGGGGCGGGGACGGCCCAAGGACAGGAATCCCAGGAGCTGGGGACATCAGTGGCATCTGACAAGGTGCCTGACTTAGGAGCTCAATGACAGCACCAGGAAGCTGCAGTGGGCTAGAGTCAGGGCAAGGGACAGCAGTGCATTCAGGAGCTCAGAATGCACAGATGCCCCCTGGGCAGTCTCTTCTGCACCTGGGGACAGCAGAACCTACACCCAGCAGTTGTGGCGGTGTGGAAGGACCCCCACGACGTGCAGGGTGGGAGTGTGGTGTGAAGGAATGCGTAAACCCTTCTCATGGTCATCACCTGCACCTCAGCCCCTCCTGAGCCGGTGGGCCAACCTGCCTGCTGTCTGCCTGCCTGCTGCCTGCCTCCCTGCCTGTCTGTCTGTCTGTCTGCTGAGGGCTCCCTGATGCCCTGAACCCAGACAGCCTCCTGGGCCTTTGTGATCCCAGGGCCTCCAGCCAAACCTGGTTGATCTTTTTTAACCACCACCCTCTTCCCCTCCCCTTTGCTTTTCTTCCAGAATTTTCCCACTGTGAAAACTCGAGCAGGTCTGGACAAGTGAGGCCGGCTCCATGTATCCAGAATCGACGACAGGCTCCCCGGCTCGGCTCTCCCTGCGGCAGACGGGCTCTCCCGGGATGATCTACAGGTGACCCCCACCCCTCACCCAGGCCACCTCCCAGGGTCTGTCCTGCCTCGAGGAAGGGCTACCAAACCACTGTCCTCCCCTCTGGAGGAGGGAGGGCCCAAGCAGGCCCAGAGGCTTCTGCCTTCCACGGGCTGCAAGGTGCACACCGGCAAGCGTTTTCTCTAAGAAAGGAGCAGGGGCTTTAAAGACCCAAGTGGGAGAGAAAAAGCAAAACTTCTCTGGGAGGTTTGAGCCAGAGTAGACTCCTTTCTCGTCCCTGACCCTTTCCAAATATCTCATTCAAGGATAACAGAGGCCCGAGGGTGAGTGCATGGCCAGGGCCGACGCCGGCATTCTTTTCTCTCACTTCATACATTTCAGCCCCTATGGCCCCGCCAGTTTCTCCTGAGCGAGGATCACGACCTTGCATGCCTTTGGGGAACCATGTTTGCCCTTTTCCCAACACCAGAGGGAGTTGGGGTGGCCAGATGTTCCCGGGCACCCTAAGCCCCTCCTTGTGGAACTCACTTCCGCCTGCAGCCCTGGCTGTTTCTGTCTGCACCATAATCAGCGCTGAACGGCCGCGGAGGGCGTTTGGTGAGAGCTGAGGCTCTGGGGACAGAGGATAGAACCCATGAAAGACGAGCGCACAGGCAGGACCCCAGCAGCCCATCGGTCTTGGGCAGCTGGACCTTTCGGGATCATTGTTAGGGCCTGAGCCAGAGCCCGTGTCTGAGACAGCCAGGGAAAGGCAGTGTCTGTCCTAAGAAGAGCCCAGCAGGCACGTGCGGGTTTGCCAGCACATGGGCTCTCGGCACGTCTGGGTTGGAGGGTTCTCAGCCATTGCCCGCAAGCATATTGCAGAGCAAGTCCTGAAGCAAGTTCAATCCAAACCGACCCTCACCCGGAGGTTCTCCACGGAAAATAGGGCCAGGCAGGAAGGAGCCCTTGTGTCCAGGAAACTGGCTCCAGGGTGGCCACCGGGTGGCGCTGCTGCAGAGCGTTTAGCACCCGCCGCGCATCCTCGGAGACTGTCCTGAGCAGGCGGCCGGCGGGGGCCCGGGGGACACGGGACGTTGGTGGTGCTTTCTGAGCTGCACCTGCTGGGGTTGATGCCAACTATGGACTCTCTCTTTTCTCCCTTTCTCCTTTTTCTCTTTCCTCCACTGCTGTCCGAAGTACTCGGTATGGGAGTCCCAAAAGACAGCTCCAGTTTTACAGGTAATGAGTCTTCATTGTCCCTAAAACCCCAGCGAGCCCAATGGCAGGGAGTGGGTGGGAGGACTGCAGCCTTGCCAAGCAGGGCGTGCTGGTGTTTTCTCTGAAGCCAAAGCCCCCTGAGACCCCCAGGCTCTGCTTATCACCTTCTGTGCTTACCCACAGGGCGCTGTGCAATGTCCTGATGGAAAATGGAAAGTCGGGTTAATTGTACATGTTGATCTGCCATAAGTTTGCTTTGATTTGAGCAAATGGGCTTTTGATGACTGCCAAGCTCTCAGCCAAAGCTGCCGTTAAAGCGTCACTCATCAGGCAGTGAGGGAGACACCTTCCTGTGGTCGCCGGCTTGTGCTTCTTCCGTTATCAGTTATCAGAATACAGGACGTGGCGAGCCCATCCGTTCTCGCTTTGCCTGTGGGTTTGAGCTGATCTGGAGCTCACAGACCTCCTCAGGCTCATCGAAGGCTAGTGCCTTCTTGGGGGTATGCAGTACTGATATGACTTGGATCAGTGACATCTTTCTGATGTGTTTCTCTGTTGGTGAATTAACAAACCAGGCATATTCGCCTGGCGAGAGACTGTGCCCCAGCGGGACATGGCATCAAGACGCCAGGCTTAGGGCCCCGCAGGGTGCTCTCGGGCAGACCCATTCCTCCCTCTGGGCTGCCTCTCCCTCACCTGTAAGGTGGAGGATGCATTTTCTTGGTGCAGCCTCCAACCCTAGGAAGTGAAACGGCAGGGCTGTCTGGAACCTGCAGGGCCGCTGTCCCCCCGTGCCTTGGGACTGTTTGGGTAATCGGCACAGCGTCTGGCAGCAGGCGTCTGGTATGCGTTGCTGCATCTTGGCATTTGGGCTGGGAGGTCTCTCTATTCGGACCCGGACACCTCCTGGTGACAGTGCTCTGGGGTTGTTGCCAATGCGCTGGGCAGTGGGCATGAGGATGGCAATGGATTTCCATGTGACTTTTCTCTCACATCCCCCCACCCCCTCCTCGCCAGTTCAGCACCTCTGACAGGACCCAGGACCTGGGTGCTCAAGCTGATCTGTGCCCCTGGGAGGTTCTGCTCCTTACAGGGACCTCTGCAGACATGGCCAACTCTGATTCTACTGATATTTGGGTAGATAAGATTTTGCCTAAAATAGTTAAATCTGAACTCGTGCTTGCAAATGCTTTGCCTGGATGAAACGTTTGTTTTGTGATGTATGTACGCATGGTGTAACACATCCTAATGAATAGACGCCACTCATCCCAGGGGATTTCATCCGTGACACGAAACGCGTACCTGAACTGTATCGTCAGAGAGCCCTGGGCAGCCTCAGTCCTCAGAAGGGAAGGGTGAGGTCCGACGAGCAGGCAGGAAAATCCCAGCTGCAGACCAGCCAGCTCGGAGGGCCCGCCCACAGACACAGACCAGCCAGCTCGGAGGGCCCGCCTCCAGGAGGGGCCAAGTAAATTGTCCAGTGTGACCAAGTTGAAGTGAGCACCTTCCAGCCCCCTCACAACGACCCTCAGAATCCCACAGGCTCAACATGTGGTCCACTACTGAGAGCCCTGTGCATGGGAACCTTCATTTCCAGGTGGCTTCTGGCCCCAAGGACAAGGTCTGAAGCTCACCCTCTAGGCTGTCAGCCCCACATTCCCGTGTCCACAGGCTCCGGCCATTCCACCTCTTGGATCTCTAGGGGTTCAGTTATATGTCTATTGTGGGGGTTCTGGAGATGATCTTTGTTTGTTCACAGGCTGGGGGCCACTCCTAATGGGGCACCCTCATCACACCAAGCATGCCACGAAACATGGCTGGTGGATGGTTCTTTATGTTGCTTAGACCTGGCCCTCTCACAGGGCAGAGGCGCTCCAGGCACTATCCTGCCCCCATGCAGCCCCCAGGCAAAGAATCAGAGCAGGACACTGTGCCAGTCAGCTGTCCACCCAGTGCTGCATAACAAACAGCTCCAAAACTCCATGCCATGCAGCAATCAGCATCTCTTCCTTGCTTCTCTGTCTGCGGGTTGACCAGGAGCTTGTGTAAGCTGGTTCGGCTGGGTTTGTCTCCAGGCTGCAGGTTGGATCCCCACACCCTCCATCTTCCCGTCCTTCTTAACTGGGGCCTGTCCCAGACATGCTCCTCCCACAGCGGAAGTGCCAGAGAAAAGACAGAAACGTGCCTTTAATCTGGGTCTAAGGCCTGTGGTTGGGGTCGGAGTGCCGTCACCTCTGCTCATATGCTGTTGACCAAAGTAAGTCTCATGAACCAGCCCAAAGTCAAGGGGCTGGAAACATATTGCCCCCCACCAGTGGGGCAATAAAGTCGCACAGCAAAGGTCATGGATACAGAGAGGGGTGAAGGATTGGGAGCAATACATACTTCCATGCACCCCAGGTCTCAAATCACTCTGATGATATCCAGAAGGCACATCATGGGAGAAGCCCAAAGAGCCTCTGGGGTCTGAGGAAGGAGTGGCCACAGCCAGCCGAGAGCCAGGAAGGCTTCGTTGAGAAGGCAGCACGGGCTTGATCTGAACCTTGAAGGCTGGGCAGGATTCAACACAGAGACTGGGAAGCACATTCCCGTAGATACAACAACCTGAGCCCCAGCCCAGAGGTGTCCACAGAGAACAGGAAGTGAAGTTACCCAGCCCGGGCCATCAGGGACATGATGGAGAACGAGGAGAGGCAGACTGTAGAGGTGGATGTTGGTGGGGGGGCCTCAAATGCCAAGCAACAGGGCTTGGATGCATTCAGAGGGCACTGGGGAGCCATCTGTGGTGTTTGAGCAGGGCAGGGCTCAGAGATCTGCTCTGGGAAGGAAGCCTGGTAGCAGGAAGTAATACAGGGGAGAGAGGTGGATGCAAGGAGACTGATGCCCAGGAAAAGGGCAGAGGGGCTGAGCTACAGGAACCGCAGAGCGAATGAAGGGGCATAGGGCCTGAGAAAAGGACATCGCAACCACGGGGCTGCCCACTGATGGGCAGGTGCTGAGGCAGAGAGGGCCTCTTTCGGAGCACATTAGGCTGCAGGCCACCACCCAGCAGTGAGGTGCAGGCCACCCCCACCAGGGCAACGTGAGGAACTCACAGAATGGGCTTGGGCCTTTGGGGACAACCCATCCAATTCAATCGCCAAGCCCTTCCCAGCTAGTCACCGCAGCAGGACACCTCTGGACTCCGCATCCTTTCCCAGCCTCCCACTTCATTTCCTTTCCCCCTGCAGCTAGGGCGCTGATTTCCAGTCCCCCACCTTCCCCCGTGGCAGCCACCACTCTTTGCTCATTTGTCACGGGGGACATAGTTCCGCTTCCATTCAAAATCCCACATTCACTGGTTCGCTTTCTGAGCCAGAAGATGATGCCCTGCTGGGACTTTGCTGGCATCCTGTGACACACAGTGACCCTAGGGGTTGTGACCCTGGGGTTGCGGCTCAGCACTTAGCCTCATCCCAGAGCTCAGCCTTGTTTGGCGTGGTCTCAAAGTATTTCCCAAACGCCAGGTCAGGACATGTGCCGTGGAGAAGGGCTCCTGTGTCCCTGCCTGGAGTGAGTGGCAGTGTGGCATCCAAATAGCAGGTTCTGGGGCCCTCCTGCCATGTATAGTACTGGCAGTATCAGACATGCCAATCTGGGGTATGCCCTAGCAAAGAGAGGAGGAGCGTCCGCGTTAGCTGAGCAGAGGCCTCTACAGACGCCCTTGGGCTGTGGGTGGTGGTCCCATACCACGAAGCCCGCAGCTCCCCTGCTGCACAGTTTAGAATTGAGTGGGGTGCAGAAGCTGCAGGCTCTGTGTCCCACACTCAAGTACCAAAGAGCAAGGCCTGTCCCTTTTGACCCGTGGGTCCAAGGCTTTGTGTTTCTGGCACACGGGGATGGTGGAGGCAGCAAGGGTAGGCCTGAGGGACCGGCAGGACCCCCACCCCGGGCTGCACCCCAACTCTGCGCACCAGGAGTGGGCCTTGCCAGGTTGCAGCACGGAACTGCACTTTCCGAGCTTTTAGGGGAAGAGGCGCTCGTGAATAATTCAGCCTCTCGCTGAGATGAAAACGCCCTAATAGAGCTAATGGACTCGCTGCCTCAAAACTCGACTCTGGTGGGACTCATCTCATTCACCAATTGCTTCTGACGTCCTGCAGTGACACTCCCTAATGAAAAAGCTGCTGTGCCAGATCCTTAGAGCATCTGGTGATCCCTAATAAACTAGACTGTGGCCTTTTTAACAAGCAGACGCCCCCAGGAAGGCAGGTGAGTCCTCCCTTCAGCCCTAGGACTGGATGCAGCCGCTACCTTCCTAGGGGAGGTGCCGCTTGGGGGTTCGCATCCCCAGGAATGAGAATAAGAGGAGACAGTATTTTGGGGTGCTTTTGGCTAATCTGAAATTAGACCCTCTGCGTTTTTTCAAAGCAGAAGACCTCAAAAAAGAGCCAGCCCGAGGTAAACCTGGAATGACTGTGATGGAGGGGGTGGTGGGTGGTGGCTTCAGCCGGGCAGCATCTCTCGCTTGAGCCTGCTTGCAGCCCAGACCTGCCCCGGGCTGGCTGTTTCCCCGTCTGCTGGAGACTCGGCCATCTAGCTCCCACCTCGTTGTATTCACCGTTGATTAAGATTCAGCATTTTCCAGTTTTGCCCAGAGCACGGTTGGGGAGGTTTGGTCTTGTCTGTGCAGGAAGCACGTGCCAAGGGAGCCGGGGGGTGCTTGTTTGGGCGTCGGTTTGCTGATGGTCCTTGGGCGCACATTCTTTTGTGTTTGCACTGATGCAATGCCGTGCGTTGCAGAGCCGCACCCCGGAATGGTAGCAGCTCCCCTTCCGTTTCCGCTTTTGAGAACTTTGGTTTGGGCTCTCTGCTCTCTGGACAGGTGTCACCATGCAGAAGTGATGCTCAGGATTCTTTCTCAGTCTCACGATTTGTGCTTTGTTGGCTTTCAGTAAACAAAACGATTCAGAAATTCCAGGTAGAGGGATCTGAGAGGAGGTAGTGATTCCTACTGACTTAATGAGGTCAACATCTTCCTC